GGGAACTAGGAAAGAAATGCAAACAGTTCACAGGGAGTCTGGCAAGGCTTAGGTGCCTGCTGGTGACTCAGTCTTCATGGCCACAGTGCCTTCTGTGTGTGGCTGAGGTGGTGGCCCTGAGGGGATGTATCAGTGCTTCTCACTGCTCTCCAGCCTGCTCCCAACAACAGGGTTATGCTTGAGCCACGGGCCCACAAAATCACCACGAGGTGGGCAGGAGACCCATGGAAAAACTGCCAGCTAAAAATGAGACAATGAAAAACTGGGGCTTATGAATTGTAAATTCCCCTCTCTATTTTTGATCCAGTTCTGAAGTGATTGAAGCGCCCCCCGCCCCCCATTCTTTGTGGGCATCCCTGCTGAGCCCCAAGCACAATGTCAGGTCTACTGCATGTGCCTCAGGAGCACTAGTTTGTCACAGTCAGCACCTGGTACAGGACAGTGGGGAAGAGTGAGAGCCAAGGCTGCAGAGCAGGGGCCTGTGTGTTGGGAGAACTAGAGTCAGTGCATGGGGAAAAGGCCCAGCAGATCTGGCCCAGGCTGGGTGTGACCTGTTAGGAGCCAGCCTGGCAGTGGTTTATGCACTAAAATAGAAACTCAGATACCTTTGCAATTCTGACCTCACATTTGTTTTGAAAAGCAGTTTGCCCAGCTTTGGTGCATCAGCTACCAAGTGGGAAGCACAGCAAACAGGCCTGCTCACGCCTTCTTGACACCTGCTCACAAGTCTCCATTATAAGAGGGTAGCTTCAGCTACAGAGCAAGGGCAGAAGCTGTAACTGACTACCTTCAAATGCTGTTTTGTAGTCTGATTATTTGTACTTGTCAGGGCACTAAACCCGAAGCCACCTCTGTGAACAATATTCTTCACCTTTTGGTCTTATTCCCCTCTCCATTACTAGGTAGTGGTGTTGATTCTTCTCAAGTTCATGTTTATTTCCCCCTCCCCCTCCCCTTCTCCTTTTCTCCTCCTCCCCTGCCTCCTCCTCTAGGCAAGTGTGCTGCTACTGAGCTATACTCTATATCCAGCCCATTATAAACCTCAGGGCCCCCTTTGTGGATGGTGCTCATTGGAAAAGAGTGACCTCTTAATTATTTTTCCAGTAGGTAGTGAAGTAGATTTACTTTAAAGGAGGACAGAGAACGCCAGAGTCTCTGGTGAAAGGCAGGGAAATTTGATTACCTGGGATGGGGTGTTTATTGCAAATTCACTTGACAACTCTTCTCTAAGGCTTTATTTGGAAACCCCAAACCAGTTTGTTTCTAAAGCCTTTCAGTCCTCCTTCAGAGGGCTGTGTTCAGAGTTTTACAACAGGAAGTTAGAAAACTGGCCTGGAAATGGAGCATCCAAGCACCACAAAACCAATGTGGTTGAGTGAAGAACCCTGGATGGGTTATCTGGGGGAAATGGTGTGGACATGCAGAAAGAAGAAGCCAAGCTATAGACAGAAGGGCAAGTCCTGATGATTTGACAGTGAACACTGTGCAGACATGAAGACACTAGACAGGTGATGGCAGGAGCTCTTGTGGGAAAGCAGGGTGCTGAAGTGGAGTACTTTGGCCCTGAAGTTCACAGGTGAGCCCGTTTTTGTAATGAGTTTGGGGGAAAACTGTAAAAGACTCGACCTGCTTAAATTGTGTCCTGAGGATCTGCGTTGTTTTTCCTGAGACAGGCCTCATATTAACTGCCGTGCTTGCTGAAGCAACAGTGTAGATAACTCCTCTCCTGCAGCCGTGACTAGCTTACGGCGTCGCAGTGTCTGGCCTGATGAACCTGGGCAGGGTTGCAGAGTGGAGGGTTCCTGGAACATCACATTAACCTAGATTCGTAATTCAGAGTCTGACTTAATGGTCTAGACTGAGTGAATTTTATGGTTCAAAATACATGAGCATACTGGGACATTTAAAACTGATTTTTGAAAATGGTAGGGTAACTGTTAAAATTTTGAACAAAAACCATCCAGCTCAGGTTCAGCCTAAAACACAATTTTGGGATAAGTACAATCTCCTAGCTACGAGTGGAGCTGTAGGAATAACTAATTAAAGATGTGATTTTTTTCATCACTAAACACTTCCTTTTTCTGGTAGAGTCATTGTGAGGTGGTCCCCATTTGCTTTGTTCTGGAAAGTACTTGAACATGCTGAGATTGGAGCTGATGCCTCTGTGATGTGACAGGAGGATGTATTCAGTGCTTCGCTAGTAAGGCACCGTCCTTACCAGGTAGATTTTATTTAGGACAGACGTAGTTGTTGCTTTTCAGTTCATTAAGACATCCTGGGGCCAGGGTGTTGTCAGGAAAGCATCCTTCTATGAGCAGAATCTAAAAACTGGATCTGTGAAAATTTGGGTTACTCTCATTTGGATAGTCAGCAACACTGGGTTGGTGGCGGTTGTGAAGTCTGCAGCAGTCATGTGGGTTCACTTCCAGCTCTAGGGGTCTAAGGTTATGACTTGGCCTCCCTTTCTGAGTCAGTGTCCCAGGCTTCTTTCACAAGGAAGCCTGACCAGCATGATAGGTTTGTCACAGGTGTGATGTTAAATACCTGTCTATGCTCTGATCTGGTTCTTCTTTAAGGGCAGTCCAGTTTAATTGCTAATTACCAGCTGTATGTTTGCTGAAATGCCTGTCATGTTTGCCATTTTTATGAAACACTTTATTGCAGGAGAGCTATTATTGCACATGGTACTTTAAGTTACTGGTCTGGGCCAGTGTAATGCAGTTTGCTGCAAACCTCAGTCAGCACCGCAATGTTAGCTTTTTCTGAAGCAGCAGACTTCTGGCAACTGAGGCCACATCAGCTTTAAGCCTTTAGGAAGATATCTAGCCCCTTCTTGATTCGGCTACCAGTCTGTGAATCACACGACACCAATTCCCTATCACATAACAGCTTAGAACAACTTGTCAACAGGGTTTGTACTCTGCCCGTAAGTCTCATCAGGGAAGAGGCATTTTAAGAGAATGGAGTTGATTTTTTTTTTCTTTTTGAATGATCATCATAAACCTAATGCTTCACAAAAAGCTCTTGAAAGACTAAGTATGGCTTTTGGGATAATTTTGCCAAGCAAATCCTCTTTACATTATGGCATTTATTAGGCCATTACTTGTTTTGGAGGACAGATTACCCCAGCAGCTCATTAACTGGATAAACAGAGCTTTGGCAAAAGATTTTCTGTGAGGCTCTTTATCTTTAGGGTAAAGAAAGACCAGGATGGGGTATGTGTGTGTGTGTGTGTGTGTGTGTGTGTGTGTGTGTGTGTGTGTGAGAGAGAG